ATGGTGATGCTGTTGGCGCCTTCTTCTGTACCGGCTTACCCACCTCACGTGGGCCATAGAGCTTGATAGGTAGTGTATGTGGCTCTATCACAAGCTTCACAACCACTCTATCTGCGCCCACATGGGGAAAGTTCTTCAGCAACTCCTTCTGCCTTTGCGCCTTCGCCTTGTCCTCATCTGTCCGGTCTGCGAGCTTCTTGGGCTGATTGAAGTGTTTGTGAAAGGTGCGGAAGTTTGCGCCGGACAGCCATACCGCCTTGGAACGCTCAAACGACAAGTCCAAGACGCCGCTCTGTTGTATCGTCTGCCATTCGCTTGAAGGAAGATCGAGAGGTTGTGGTTCCGAGAGGGTGGGTAGTGGCGCGCCTTCAGTTATCCGGTGAGGCAGCAATTGTTTTGGTGTGAGTGGTACGCCCTCACCAACCGGTGTTGATGGTGCTGATTCTCTTATGGCGATACTGGCTCGCTTGCGCTTGAGTGTTGCTTTCGCACCTCGCGCCGGCTTCTCGTTTGGCGTGTCGGGGACGGTGGGGGCAGCTTCTTCACGAGCGCGCGCCCGCGTCGACCGTCGCGGCTCAGACATTGCGTGTGGCTATGGATATTTGCACCCGGAAATTGCGCATTCTCAGCATTCAATGAAGAAGTCTGATGACCAAGCCACTAATATGGACAGATGCTGGAGTCCATCGACGCGACTTGAGGCGCACCCAGCGGGGCGGTAGCCTAGCGCCACGGCTCATGCTTGCCCGCATCATCATTTGCTTCCTTTCGCCGTCAGGAACCACAACACCAACCTAAGAACGTCTTTACGAATAATTTCATGCGTATATGTTTCTCGCTTTAAAATCTCACATATAGCCAATTTTGTAAGACCTATGCAATCGTCTATTCTAGCAGCGGCTTTGGCAACACCGCCCCATGATCGACGGGTCGGAACTGGTGGCCTGAACAGCAAATTATCATTTCCAACAAGGAATCTTCCGAAGCGCCCTTTGACCTGACTCAATCCCCATGGCGCCTTTCTGTACTGGGCATGACAAGCCCACTATAAGGTAGGTGTCTGTAGCCGCTGCCGCTGCGTAGCTGTCGCTCTTCTCCTCAGGCCTCACCCGTGTACTCTTCTTCACTATGCGCGTGGCAACTATTGTGCCTGTTCTCCTGGCATACTCCTCGGCCGTCTTTGCAACGTGCTACTTCCCAAACGGCAATGTCGTCGATTCTGACACGGCCTGTAACCCCAATGCCTTAGTCTCATCATGTTGCTACGATAACCAAGCATGCCTCTCCAATGGACTCTGTGTATCCGACCCTCATGACCCTGCCAAGGCGCGTCTGCACCGAGGAACATGTACTGATAAGTCATGGAAGAGTGGGAATTGCGTGCGACAATGTCTTGGTATATCCACCGTCTTCTAACCTGTGAACCCATACTCATTGCCATGTAGACACCGAAAACAATGGCGCGCCTGTCTACAGCTGCAACTCAACCAGCGTCGATTCATACTGCTGCTACGACGACTGTGAATGTGAAAATCCGTTTGAGGTATTCAAGTTCAATCAAACACCCGCCGACGTCTACACCATGACCATTATTCTCGAATCCTACACGCAAACCCATACCTCGACGCCGAAAGCCGTGACTTCAACATCGACCGCATCGACCGCAAAAGCTGCAACAGTATCGGCGATTACAACCATCGTATCAACGTCCGCGGCGCCCGCATCGACCACTGCTTCCTCAACCCCCGCGGCAGCGTCGGGCACCAAAGGAGATACAACCAATTACGTTGCACTTGGCGTAGGATTAGGTGTAGGACTAGGTATCGGCATACCCCTAATTCTCCTATTTGCCTTCTTCTTCTACCGCCGCAACAAAGGTCACAAGCCCGCAGACAGTGATCCAGCGAACCCCGCGGAACTCACAAACGACGCTTACTTTCCTCCCCATGAAAAGTACGCCCAGAACTACCAGTCCGAAGTGTCAGGGTAAGGAACCATGTTGAAGTTGTTCTCCCTGGATGGTCCATAAACTAACAATGTGAACTAGAGATAGCGTCGCGCCTGAAATGCCGGCTTCGTCGCACGAGCCCGTCGAGCTGCCGATTAATAACGACCGGACGGATACCACGACGACAGTCAAGTATCACTGAAAGAGTATGAGATGACGGAAATGGATGTCTGGAACGGGACCATGTGCCCATGAAATCGCACTTGTGAAGGAACTAGTAGAAGCACTGGACCAACCGCGATCTAAACAGTACACTAAAGGCCCGTTACCCGCGCGCAATCCTCTATCACGGGAACCATGATCCTCCCGGAGAAGAGCCCGCGGCCCGAAAGTAGTTGTACTCGCCGTTGTAGTTGCAACAACCAAGATACCCCTACAAACTAATATGAATCGATTACAATACTCAGCAAGTCACAGTCTTACTACCTACCATAATGACGTTACATTACA